GAACCCCGCAGACAAAAACTAATATAATGGAAACAACCGATGGCTTCACCGATGGAACGAAATCAAAGAGTCGATCAGATTTTGAGGAGTTCAAAGGTTTCATTTTCTTCAACTCTATATGAACAGTCGTTTTCTACAGCCTCCCGAAGACGGACTTTTGAGGGGAGGTTGCCAGAATAAAATGATCCTTTGAAATTGGCCCAAAAAGACATGAATGTTTTATTTTGTACTGTTACAGCTGACGTGTAGCTGCCATTGCCGTTGACCTTCCCCATTCTTACCTTCTCGCGTTGCATCAAAACGTGCTCAAGGCTTCAGCAGTGAAATCGATATTTTAGAAAGTATCTGTCATGTCTTCTTCCAAAGGCAGGTATGCGTTTGAAATTAATGTGCACGTTATGATTTTTCCCGGAAATTTCTGTTTGCTCTTTAATCGTCAGCGTTAACGGAAGTTTATGTATTCAACTGCTATTTTATTTTAAGAAAAAAATTGTGTATTTCTTTTCTTAGTTGCTTTCGGACAATGAGCAATTATAACAGAGCAGGAGACTTGCTTTGCACAGGATATGGTTTTCGAGTTTGTTCACGAATGTTTTGTTATCCATATCTTTCTAATAAGAGTGGACATCCTATGCTCTGATATGATTGTGTGCGACATTTTAGACGCGTGGAATGCTCAGTGTCGGGTTAACCAGATAAAAGCGGTTAATTTAAGATTCTGAACTGATCAAGGGGTGAGTAAATAAACGAATGAACTGAACGAACGAACGAACGAACGAACGAACCAATGGATGGATGGATGGATGGATGGATGGGGTTGTTTACTTCTGTCTCTTTTAGGCTATGGCAGTCTGAGGCTATGGAACACCTATTTATATACGCCTCATGATCAATAAAGAGGGGAATCCGTTCAGCTCATTAAACAGCTTTTAAACAAAGTCAACGTGCGTGCGGCTCTCTTGTGCATCTGCATAAGAGATAGTTGGATATAAGATTGTTGCTTTTGTTGTTTTATGCAGCACGCATGGCATGACCTTATGTTTACATTGTTCAATGTTCCTGTGCCGCTATATTATAATAAGGACCCAAAGAACTTCAAAGTAAGCGTCATTTCCTGCATGCCTATTAAACCTGCGCACGCGTTTCAGGCCTTTCAAAAGGAAGGGGAAGGGGTAATAATTAAGGCGCCCGAGAATGCACGAGGAAATCATGTTATATGCTTGACCAAAAGTTTGAATTTCAAAGTTTTAATATACCAGATATCATTTTCTTTGCTTTTCACCTAGTATATCATTTAACGGCCTTATTGTATGGAAACCGAAACAGGAATTCAAAGTGACGAATCACAATATAGTGTAATAATCAAGCAGTAAAATTTAGCTCGCTTCACTCTAGACACAAGACAGTGGCCCCATTTATGTGTAGCATTTATTAAACATCCTGTATACATGTTAGCGTTCAAGGCGTAAAACTCCGCCGTAAAAGATTTTCTAAACTAAGAGAGAACAACCTCTTAGTCTAAATGACATCCGTACCGTAGCATTAACCGAATGACTTAATACAATAGCAATGATCTTAACAGAGGTATAGGTGATCCCTTCGGAAATATATCTGCATCTTCTTGTTAAGACTTTTTTGCGGTAGCTTTTGTCCGCGAGAAAGTTAAACTGTCACTCTTACCGCAGGGGAATTGAAACATTGAAAGCGAGAAAGTTAAGTAATACTTGATCCTTTAAAATTTGACCGTGAAAAACAGGAATATTGTTCTTTTGCATTATGGTGGATGTAAAGCTGTTGACCTTTTCGTGTAACGTGCGGTCGAAGTTTCAGGAATAGCCGTTTATGATTAAAAAATGACATGTACGGCTCCCGACCCCGAAATGATCCCCATTTCTCTTCGTGTCGACCCCAAAATCATTCCCAACTAATTTTAGGAATAGAATGGCATCCTAGAACTATGAATCAAGCAAAACGGTTTCACTATGCTACTCGCTCGAATTCTTAGTTTAATGGATCTTAACTTGGATCAATTTGAACTGGATTTTTCAAAGCTTTACCGCCAAATGGACCTGACAGTTCAATTTTTTTGGCCAACAACTATCTTTAAAGTAGCCATTATAAAAACCAAGAGTGCAACCATTGATTTTTTCTCTTCCTCTCCTTTCTTCCTCCTCGCTCTTTCTTTTTCCCCTTTCCTTTCCCTTCGTTACTGTGATTTTGGAGCTTATCGGGGCCAAAAAACCTGCCTTATTTTCACTCAAATGACTGCAGATTTCGTTAGGTTGGTTTTCCAAAAAAGTCAGCTAGATATTTAACTATGTAAACATGGCTTTAGAGAGTGTCTACGTATAGTCCTTGGTACCAAGAATTTCACCTTCCCTACCCAGGACACCGGGTAACTGTCTGCGCCCTCCCCCCCAAGCTCTGTAATTATCATGATAATTATCGTCAGCAGAGGCCTAATTCAGCTGTCTAGGGCAAAGTAAGAACAAGGTACTTGCCAGCCAAAGCCTCTAGTAAACACTGCTCCTCTATGCAACAACTAAATTTCTGTTTTTCTTGGCAATCTTTTCAACAAATAAGGTAAAAACAAGGTGACAATATTTTTTCTTGGAATCACTTGATCATGCTAATTTGCATAATTAAAGGCGGTCGTGTATTCAAAAACACCAAAAGTTCAAAGTGTTTGCGTTAAAGGGAGATCAAAAGCGCAAAGTATTTTTATCTTTCTATACTTTATAGCATCTCCTTAGTTGATTTAAATAGAAAATCAGAGCAGGCAGGTCTGGACTTATGAAATAATTGCCAGCGAAGATAGGGTACTTTGCTGCATTTTCAAAATGGTCTCTTATAGGTACTAGTAAATTAATTTCCCTGTTGATGCAATTCAAGAAAATTCCAAATTCACATGCTATTCACACTGTTGATAAACACCGTAACCTAGAAATAATAATCTCAAGCGAGAAGGGCGAGAGCTGGAGACAAGCGAAAAGCGCGTGAGGAGTATGATGGGAATGAATGAACCCGAATAACCCCCCCCAAAAAAGGTGATCGTCAGCGACTGGAGACGAGGTGAACAAGCCCCACACTGTTGTCAATTGTCCTCCCGAGAGGAGCCTGCTAGCAAGCTCTCCATTTATGGCGAGTGAAGCGCGACTCCCCCAAATGAAGAGCTTGCTTGCAGGCTATTCATAAAGCTACCTTACACGCGCTTATTTTATTTTTCAAGGTTACGGAACAGAATTTTAACTTTGTTTCTTCAGTATTGCAAAACACCTATTTTCAACCACAAGGCAGCTCGAATCATCAAGGTGCAGTAATATTACTCACTAACGTTTTATTCCCCGCCTCACGTGATGGAAATTTTAAGGGAGTCTGGAACAAGAATGTTGATTGCTAGCGAAATTTGGGATTCATTTGAAATTGACGTAATGATAATAGTCGTTACATCTGTTAAATTCCTAACTGGATCCTCATCTGCCCTTTTGCGATGTATGGTAGCAAAACCTTTTATCTTCTTTCTCGTTTTAAGGTTCCACAAGATCCGTCAGCGTTACGAAAAAATATCTACTTCTGTCCAAGTTGCAACTCATAATTGCCATCAACAGAATTCCAACTTTCATCCAATTCTTGGTGAGTCAGGCTTAAGATTAATTTTATTATATTGTTTTTTTTTTTTTTCAACCATTAAATGTTAACCGTTGATAAAGAGTTATCGTCCGGGAAATTAAAAATAAATGTCGTCAAATCTGATTATTTACCTATTGAGTTTATTGTTTATTTGTTTCGATTTTGAAATGTTTTATTAATATAGATCGCTTTTTTTTTTTTTCACATTCCTCACTCTGGATATCAGAGATTTAAAGTCACGTTTAGGCCAAACAGCAAAAGCACTTGGCTTAGTTTCCCCCTTTAATACAAAAAAGTGCTTTTCAAGGCTCGACCAGCTGAATTGATTTTTACCTTTTGTCCTAATTTGAGCAATGGTCAATCTGAATGTGAAGTTTGCTGTAGTGATGTTAACGTGATTCCAAATCTCTCTATCGTATCAAAAAAATTAGTCATGGTCACATTGAAACTGACTGAACTCCATTCAGAAAACCGGCCCATTCTACCCTGCAAGCAGAGGTTTCTCTCTTGCATGGCTTTTAGCGTTTTAGCGGAGGAAGTCGTTCGCGTCGCTTTTGACAGCAACTAGAACGTCTAAAAAAACAATAGGTTTAAAGGTGATGTTACTTGAGACGATTCGCAACGACGATTTTTAGCGCAACACAGCGGTGCAATGTTGTAACTATTCGAAACAATGTCGCAACAATGTTGCAACGCTGTGTTGCGCTAAGAACCGTCGTTGCGAATTGTCTCGTGTAACATCGTCTTAGTAAGCAAAACAACAACTTTGTACGTGCATCACGCTTTTTTGTTCATTTCTTCGCCGTGTTTACGCGACTACGACGTGAAAATACCTAATTTCGTGTTTTATGGAAAACGTAAACAGGCAATGACAACATTATATTTCGCTTTCTGAACTCCAATATGGTCACTTGGAATTCAAATTCAGGAGGGTTCGCGTACATTTGACAAAGTAAGTAGGAATAATCGTGCTTAAGACTGAAAGAACGTGGAGCGACGTTCCCGTTGCTGTCTCGTCGTTAGATCTAAAAGTCCCTAGTTGCGACTGACAAGCGGCGCGAACGACTTCGTAAATGTTAAAAGACATTCAAGAGAGAAACGTCTGGTCGCAGGAAGGCCCATTCAGGTCAGTGCCGAGCTATTTCTAAGTTATCTTGTGACACCAGTCTTAGCCTGTGCACCTTGCGGAGCACCATTGTTAGACTTGTTACCAATCTTGTTGTGACTCCTATGGTTGTTTCTTGGTTAAAAACGTTTCTTTTCTTTTCTTTTCTTTTTTTGATTTGATTCATGAATTCAAGAGGATTTACATAGCGTGACCTTTGTTTCTTCTTTGGCCTCACCAGGTTGTTGGAAGATGTAGGAAGTGTATGAAACTCGACAACGATGCTAGATTACGGCATAACTTCCCGCAGTACACAGCAATGTTGAAAGAGCTGAGGCGTTCAGAAGAAAGCCTTGAAGATGGCTCTAAAATCGCCTTCCTACTTCAGGTTGGTAAACATGCAGATTCAGTAATCTGCAAGATGTTTCGGTATAAGAGACACCGAGACAACTAAACTTATCTGAATTTTCAAGTCCTTCGTAGTGAAAACAAATCACTTTTAGCCTGGCTAGTAAATGTTGAATTGGAGACTTATGAAGTCGGTTTGGATCATAATTTCACTCCACTAAGAGCATGTTGGGTAAGGCGGCCAGTTACCAGTAACGATCAATGGAGCGAATTCGTAAACGGTCTTTGCCATTTTTAAGACACTCAAGGCCTTAATTTTACACAAATTGGCACGGTTTGCCGCTTTGAGAAAGCGAACTCTGTTAAACGTAGCAAAAATCATCAAAATTTATAAGATTACAAGAGAACAGCGCCGAAGAGGCCACTTTACAAAACAACCCAGCCTGGCAGATGGGGCCATTCCGGATCATGTAATCAGGCTCTAAGAAAATTTTTTTCCTGTTTTTCATAACTGTCTTTCTAACTTACACATCGGGTCATGTAGAAGCTGCTCAGAAGAACACTTCTCTACACATCCTGTTGGCTCTAGCTTTTTCTCTAACATTTTACGTAACTCTGCTTTAAGATTTCTTTTTTCGTAGACATTTGCCTCATATTAACCTAATCCAGAGAATTTTTAACCATGACGAAATAGGCATCAATTGTCATGTGCAAACTGAAAGATCTTTGACTAAATCTGTTCCTTTTTTTCAGGAACCTGATTTACGCTATCTTGTGGAAAACATTTGGAATAGCCAGAGCGTGCTCAGCGCTCACGAAGACCTGTTTGACCTGATTCTTGTACGGTGGAATAAGTACGAAGAGTGGTCTCCGTGGAACTGTATTTTACTCACAAAGGAGGAGGCATCTGCTCACGCCAAACTGGAAAACGTTACTGAGGTACGGCTCCTTTTCTTTGTTTGTCTTTGTTGTTTTAAAGCGATCGTCAATAGATGGGTGTGGGGAAGATGCTTGAGTAAACTGAGGAAGCCGCAAGCGAGCGTGAAGGTAACCAAGACAACCCTGTGAGCGGCACCCACCAGGCACCGAAACACTGAGAACCTCAGTGAAAATTTTTTACCAACACCCATCCAGAGGGAGGGGAGGGCTGGGAGCAAAAAGGCTTTGACACAAGCACAAGCAAAGACAACGCATGCAAAATGACTTGACCACCAAAGGAGCGCTGTAAAAATGCTGGGACCCTGAAAAAGCCTTCAGGCCGCCCCACAGACGATTAGAACGGGGACCGCTGGCCAGCATTGTCTTGTGTTTAACCTCACTTAAATTATTTTTAGCCACATTTCATGCTTTAGAGCGTCCTTTAGTCGGATATGGAAGGGGAGATCGGGCCAAATCGGATGCAGCAAATACAGTAAAAACACGCGACTAAGAACTTGCATTTTCCCTCGTTAGTCTAAACAGTTTCTTACATAAATGTTAATTAGCATAAATTTAGGCTGTTAAGGTTCGATCATCCACGAACGATCTTGCACCTTCTTTTGAAGTACAATAAAAGCCCGCGACTTAAAGAACCTGTTTTTTAAAAACCGGTTAGGCTAAAATTTGCCAGTTAGGCCCCCTCTATACAGAACCTGTGAAGCCCAAAATTTGAAAGAAGTTCTTAGTTTCTATTAAAAATCTATTATAATAATAAAAAATCAGTCTACTTGGGCAAATAAGATAAGTTAACATTTAGTATCCTCTTTGGAGACAGTGGTGTTTTTTGATTACTCCAACTGTAATTGTAACGGTATCCAGGTTTTACCAAAGGAATAAGCTGAGTACCACTAATTATACTCTTAGCTATAATGTATTTTTTTCCTTCAGAAAATAAGAATCTATTAAGATCCTTGCAAATGAGGATTATTCACCGATGTTTGCTTTCTCGTTTGGTGCTTCTTCCGGTACGATATTGATGCCACAATTAATATTTAGTCCCTGCATTTTGAGATAACTACCCCACTACTTCACAAAGTCGTGGAATACAGAACAAATATTGCAAGCAATGGTTTTACCCATACGAGCAAGCTCTTTTGGGGTGGGAGTAAAGGAAACGCCCTGTATTTCCAACGCCACCCCCATCCCCCAAGTTGGAGGTGATTCCCTTCACTTCCTTCGATTATCCTCACTCTAACTTTGTATTTCTTTCCATCAGGCATACGGGTGGATGTTTATCGGGAAGATTCTACATAAGCACGTACTGGCTCGTAACTACTTTTCACGCCTACCCGGCATGGCGGAACACATGAAGAAGAAAATTTCTGGACAAACTCGAGGATTAGCTGCTAATAACGGGGCGAGAACAGCAGCACTTAAGGCGTAATCTTCGCTGTTGAACTACAGATCATAAATTCGTCATCGTTTAGCCCTTCGTAACTGTAGGTTCTAAACATGGTGTATTAAAAGGAAAATCTTCGTGACCAAGTAACAAATCATTGTGAGGCGTATTTTGATTTTTCTTTTCTTTAAAGATGTACATATATAGGTATTCTTTAACGGTATTAGAACAACTTTTTTTTTCTTGTTCGTTATTGTAAATAAATGAATAAAACTGAAACAGTAGCCCATTCTTCCATCTGCGTAGTTAACGTATCCATGTCTTGACCGCCGTCAAACGAAAGACATGTAAAATAAAAACAACAACGGCTATGCGCTTTGTAGACTGTTAACAGAAGGAAGTCCTTACGCCACGTTGAAATGGTAACAAAATTTCTAGTAGTTAACAAACCGTGGACCTGAAAATATGGCAGAAAACAAATGAAAAAAATGACAGTGCATAATTGCTCTCAAGAATAAAACGGTAGCTCCTCTGTCAAGAAAGATTGTTGAGATCTAGAAATTTTGCAACCATGGTAACCTGACGTCACACTACCTTCTATTGTCTGACCTTCTTGGAGTTGATCAGTTTAACCCATTCGCCCCTGAACCGCCCGTAACCGCCCGTGCGGATCCAGGTCCTTTCTACCCTTTGTGACGTCATCAGTTTTAACGGTCAAGGACAACTTTCTTCGCTAACTTGTGCAGGGTGAAGAGACCAAGTGTACGACCTGTAAACCAGTTTGTGGTAAGTTTTAGCTCTTTATAGCACGACAGTGACCAGAAAACCACTCGACTAGCTTCAAAATGCGTTTTTCGGCAAAATCTCCAGGAGCGAATGGGTTAAAAATTCAGTTTAATCTACTATCTTTCCAAGCGTTAAATAACAGAATGCTACTCGATCCTTCTATACCTGAAATATTTTTCTTCTTAAACATTTCACGACACAATTCAATTTTTTTACGGTTGCATTACGGTACAAAGTAGGGCCTGGATTTGATGTCAAAAACGTTTGGTGGAGAATATTAGATAACGGCTAAAATTCAGCTCCAGGTTCACTTTTCAAGAAAACGTTCTTTAGCGACGAAACAGTCTTCATAAAAGTGACGGAGAAACCAAAGTCATTAAATTGAATTGACGAGACAACACTAACAATTTGGGACATGAATCTCGTGATATATATCAAGATTTGTTTGCATGTGTTTCCTGTAGGTCGTATTATTCCAACATGCTTCTTGGCTCAAGATCATAGACGATGCATTTCCCATTAAACAGTTTGATTGATTGATCGACTGATTGATTGATTGATTGATTGATCGATTGATTGACTGACTGATTGATTGATTGATTGATCTGAGAGGTCCGGCTCGAAGACATTTGATTCAGCTCTAGCCTGAGCTCTATTTGTTATTTTGCCTCTTAAATACTCCAAAAAGATGATTGTTATTATCAGCTTGTAAAATTGGTTTCCTTAGCTCCTGTAGAGAAGACTTGGAAGGAAATGAGAGTATACGTACTTATTAAACAAAACGCCTTGATACTGGATGCTTTGAAACTTAGAAAATTATTAATATTAGTGTGGGCGAAAATCAACATGTGACAACTTTAGTAGACTTCGGAGACAAAAATTAATAAAGACATAAAATGGATCTTGTCTTTATGCGTTTGCAGCCTCCCTTTCCTTGTGTAGTTAAATAAGAGATTAAAATGACATTAAAGTCTAAAAAAAATTAAATTAAAAAAAAAAAACTTTGAAAAAGGTTAGCTTCAGTAGCTTTGACATCTATTCCCCTTTTGAGAAATAAATGAATGAATGATAACAACAAAAATAATTTTCAGCTTTAAAATTGTCTAACAATATCAATGAATACGGTTCGCACTGTTGTTGAAAGGGTGCGGAGCTTATTTGAGGAAGGTGTTAGACGGTAGTTATGGCAAAAGTTAGTCAGAAGCGTCATTATATCACTAAATCTATATTTTGTATTTAAATTATAAAGGGAAAACCTGGATCAAGATAAGACTTTTTACCGGTGAATTGAAATACATACGTGCCTTATGGGGTGTTTTATCTTTTTTTCCTCGTTTAGTACCATACAGGACAGTATGTCATGAATTCGTTTTAGCGACTATTAACTTAATGTTTAAGACTAATGGAATACTAATATCAAAGTGCATGTGACCCATTATTAATTATTATTTCTAGTTTGTTTCGTAAAAAGTTTCTACTTCGTCTGGTGTGAACATGTATGATCCTGCCAGGAATGTTCGGGCGAAGGTACTGTCGTAGCTGTACCCGCTCGGTGGGCTGTAAGTAAAGCCAAGTCTGCTGTAAGAATCGCTTTTGGATGACACGTAGTTTGAAATGTAAATGGCATGTCCTCCTCCGAATGTAGGTCCATTCCCTGAGGAACACTGGCATATTGAACGTGCTCTGCTTGAACTATATTTCCCTGTCTGAGGCAGTTTAACAGGTGCCCATCCTGGTTTGTTCACCAGTGAAAACAAAAATGCTTTGGAGTCGTACTGGTACCCACTGCTGGAATCTATCAGAGAGAAATTAAAGATGGAACCAAGTGTAATTAGCGCCGTTTGTTCTGATACTCACTTTAGAAATTAAACCACTTGTCAAGTGCATTGACACTAAAGGTAATCCTGGAAACAAGTTTTCTACTTTGAAACGAATTTGACTCTGATATGTTTTATTTGTTTTACTTTGTAGTTGTAGGACAAGTACAATAATTTCAAACCCAAAATTAACAACAAAAATGCAAAAGCAAACAAACAAAACTAAACAAATAACGGTTAGAGCAAATCTGCCAAGACTTTTAATGGCCAGAGTTTCGATTAATTGATCTACAAAAACTATTGATTCCAGAGAATTTTTGTATTCATTATACTTTAACCATTAAATAATAAATTCACTCAGGTGCAGTTTGCACCTCATTTGCCATGTCAAACTTTGAAGTTTTCGTGTAAACTGACTTCTGAACTTTTTAACACAGTTTTTCTTATCAAATTTCATACTTTTGGTAATTGCCTCAGCACAACTGGTCTGATTTAACGCGGTGTACCGACTGAATTTTTAGTTATCTTTCATTTTCAGTTTAGAGCCTAGAAATCCCAGTTTACAGATCATGATCATTATAGCCTGATAAGTACTTTTTAGTTTCAAACGAAGCTAACTATATGATGAGAATCGTCCTTAAATTCAGGAAATGGTGATGATACGGGAGGATAAGGGTGGGGGGTGGTGGTGGAGGGGGGTGATGAGAACAAGATCTAACAAAAGTAAATAACGTCGTTTTAATCCGTGCATCCAAAGGCAGGGCCATTTTGATGATGTTCTCGTTTTTCCTTTTAGCGTTTCCTCCGCGTAAGTTGCTCCCCACCATCCGAAGACCGCGCTCTACTATCTTAACTCCTGGATCAGGCTCTCTCAACAACAATAACTTACCCCATGAAATACTGGTGTATCCTCCAAAAATATATTTTCCAACCCTAATTATTGTTACAGTCGGTCCCTTGCCATCACATTGTGAGTGAAATGTACTTGCAGCCCAACCGTCCACAGATGCATGCCAACAGCGCTTCCAGAGAGAATAAACGTCTTTAGCCACCGGTGCTAGCCAGTTGCTTAACGAAGTCAAGTGGTTTCTGTTGTTTCCCACAACGATGGAGTCTTCAAAACCTTAGAAAAAAGGATTAATAATTATAATACTCGACTTCCGTAAAATAAGGAAAAAAGAGTTGTGAATGGGACTCGAGTTGATCAACCTGCGGTTTAAATGCAATAAAGCCTTTTCAGAAAGTTTCTATTTCCGAATGTTACCGCGTGAAGTACGTTCTTATTCGGTTTTAAACCTAGGTCGTTAGTTTTGGAGCCGTACAATCTGTGAGCCAGCGAGCCATGGAAAAAATAGTTTTATGAAATGGCAAAATATTTTCTGCTTACGTAGTTTCCTTTGGGTAAGGTTTTGCTGCTGTAATATTTTGCAGAATAACGCAGTGTTGGTCGACTTAAGCGCTCATTTTACTGACGCCGAACCTGAGGGTTAAGCGCTCATTTTACAGATTAAGAGTAACCTTTTTATGACGGCCGGCAAGGAGCAATAAAAAACCGCATTTTTCAACAATTCCTCTTTTTTGGACTGGTTTTTGGCTAAGTAGCATAAGAATTGCGAAAAACGAATGTTGCAAGACTAATCTGACGTAATTAAACAGCTTTTTTTGTTTTTCCTGCTTGTGCAAAGCCAAAATGTGGACTGTCTTTGCCAATTTATGTCGGTCTTTCTCTCTCGCTCTCTTTTTTTCCTTCTTTTCCTCCTTTATTGTTGCTACTTTATCGCCTTTCTTTTGCACGGAATTGTGGCTGAATAACTTTTTAGGAAAGGGACAAATTTAATTTTCAAAGAGTACCATTTTTTGTAAGTGTAACTCTGTCAGGATGGGACAAATATCCAAAACGAGGTATTGCAGAAAAATTCTATCTTTGCTGGCGTTTTTGCTTACCAATTCATTAACCTAAACGGAAAGCTAAATGGGTCCAGGAAGGAAGATATGCATCGTTCCATATCGAACGAAAACGACAGGAGTCGTCGAGGGTTAAGCGCTGTTTAGGGTTAAACACTCTGATTTATAACGGTTAGTATAGCTTTCGGTTGATTTCTTCCGTATCACTGCCTTTTCGTTTGTTTTTATTTAGATATATTTTTTCGCATGACTCGCACTGTTTCCTAACTTGTAATGGTTATTAAATGGATAGATCTGGATAAGATGATCTACATAAAATCCCAGGGAGGGCGTAACTGAACTAAATGTTTAGCATGTAAACCTGGTGTCAATTAAATAATGGCTAAAAGAGCTATACTAGAAGCTTTCGATAATATACATATAGCTTACTCAAACAAAAAAATTAAATAGTGTAATGGCGACGGCAACGAGAAAGGCAAAAGCATCAATATTTCTAATTAGCAAAAACAAAAACATTAGCAACAACAACTTTGCACGTGCAGCACGCTTTCTGTACATTTCTTTCCCGTTGTTTTGTACGATTTCAACGTAAAGCCATCATCAAATTGCCCTCTTTCTATAACTCTCGCTTTCTCCACAACAGAAATCGCCGCATGTAGACTTTCCTGATCGCGAATCAGTCGATTTATTTGAGATCTCGGATGTGGACTAACGACATAGAGCTGCAAGAGTGCCCGCCTTCCAAACAAGTCTCAAGCCCTGTAAGAAATCAGCATTTATTTAGTTAAGCTCTCGCCTAATGGATTTGACACCTACAACATACTTTTTGATCATGAGGCCAGAGACTCGTCACCGCCTACAGCAATAGAGCTCGCAATATACATGTAATACCTTTAAGTCTCGAGCCCGAGGTTAGTGTTTCACCAGTACAGCCACAACAACAATAGCAACAACAATAACTTTATTTGCATGACTGACTATAATTATTTTTTGTTCTGCAAAAGGAAACATTTGCCATTCGTGATGATACTCGTTCCATCATAAGGCTTAATGATGCCTTTGCGAAAACTTTACTCCAGGCGGCCGAAAAGAAATCTAGAACATTAACCGACCGCGGAAAACAACTTATATCGCGCCCGCTGATTCCAAATAAAATTTTTTCATTGCACGGACAGAGTTATGGAAAATGATCGCAGGCATGCGCAGTGGTGGTCGTTGTAGGGAAGGGGAGGGGGTGAAGAAAGATGTAATAAACAGCATTTCAAACACAAGATTATATGTCGACTGAAGCTTGTTAGAGGACTTGTGTACTGAAAGTTTCATAACAAAGAAAAATAGTAAACAAGCCTCAAATGAAAATGTTGGGAAAAAAACCTGGAGGTACGTTTTAGCAAACCCAGGCCTACAGGTAGTTCTGCCTCAATCAACTCTAAACCGGTAATAGACCGTATAAACAAGCCTCTAATGAGAATCGGTTAATACAAACCTGAACGACGTTGCACTACCACGTTAATCCTTGTCTTCTTTGTTCCCATAATGTTAGTTGCTACGCAGTCGTACAAACCACTGTCAGCAGGACTTAAGTTCTTAATGGTGAGTGTACCTTGATTTACCTCAGTTCTGCCAGCAGGCAAAGGCAACACCGATCGACTCCAGGTTATTACGGGGCGAGGATATCCTTCAGCTTGACATTTTGCTTGAAATTTAGTACCTTGTGCCGGTGAGACAAGTGAAAGTGGAACTGTTGTGAAGATTGGAAGACCTGAAATGAAAATTGTAAGTTAAAGAAAAAAAAAGGCAATAATTATAATTCTCTCTCTTTCCTTGAAATCTTGTCACTATTACTTACTCAGTCTCCACACCCAGAGCTACCTAGAGCCAATGGCTTTAACGAAGGAAACAGGGAATCCATATATATGTATACAACATGTGTACTATAATACCTATTTACAGTTTTGGTAAAAAGAAAAGACAGCCAGCAGTGATTTCCACTTGTTTTCATTAATTTTAAGAGAGCTTATTTCCGTTTGGTTAGAAATCATTATAACTGGTACGTGCTCTTTAACTTGGTTTTAAGTAACAGCAAGGGAGGTTTTATATTATTTTTATAAGATTTGGGTATCGGAAGTTTATTTGCTTTCCCAAGATATTAATGTAACACACAATTTTAAATCCCTGCTAAAAAAAACGAATATGAAATCAATTTACTGTATTAAGGAATGGATATTTAAGGAGAAGCCTTTAAGACATTCTGTTTACTGAAAGCTAGACGTTTTGAGAAAATTCACAGTAAGAAAACAGATACTCGAGAGATTCTTCCTAACGCAGCTTTTAGTAAGAAAAAACTATTACCTGCTCAGAATCTCAGGCAATAAATTATGCAAATGATAATTGCAGCCTAGTCGGGTGATCACCGCGTCGTTCTCGCAATCCGAGGGGCCGGGTACGGTTCGAATGTCATTTGTAACCTTACTGAATTAGTTCCCGGGTCGCGTCTCAAGTTCAAAAATCCCTAGGAACGCCTGTAAAAGGCCAACCCAGATTGCTTCCCGCCGGCGCTAGCTGGGGTTTTAATCTTGTTACTGTAGTTATAAAATATTTGATTATTAGTTGTTTTTAATTATTTGTTGAATGGTGTGTCTATGTAAACTAGCTGGATAAGCTAAATGCACTTTCCACTATCAACAAACCTTGAAACCTTGAACCATAATATATAACAACAGAAGGAACGTGCGATTTTCAGCAAAAGAGGCCCTCATTTGAATAAGAAAAGTCCACGGCTAGCTTTGAGTCCTGAGTTATTACAGACTCCTTCACGTTAGGTCTCTTCAGTGAAATCGAAGCTAGTTCAGTCTGATGATGATTTGAAGTGAAACCTATACTTTCGTCAACATTCTTGATTCGAACTCTTGGTGTGGTTAGTTTTCTTTTTGCCCGGTGTTTCTTAACTTAAAACCTAGGTGTATTATCATCATCATCATCATCATCATCATCATCTCGTGTCTTACCCTTCAAGAATAGTTCTTATTTTTCGCGCAAGCAAACAAGAAAAGTGTCGCGTGTATGTCGCACAATTCCGAGTGGCCCATGAAAAATAAGGAATTGAAATTAAAGAGAGGGACCAGACAAAACTGCAAGATTAAACGATGATGCTTCTCAATCCTTGGAGCCTCGCCTTTGAAGCTCATCATGAAGCGTAGAGTGTAAATTGAACAAAATCAAGTAGGATAATATTAATATTAACAAACTTTATGCGCCTCTTACCTCGAACAGACAAGTTGCCAATACCCTCAGAATATCCAAGAATATTTCGAGCGACACAAGTGTACTGTCCAGCGTCGCTGTAGTTCAGATTTCTAACGATCAACTCTCCTTCTTTAATCAAATACTTTGCACCTGACAGAAGCTTTCTACCCTTGCACCGCCATTCGACGACAGGGGGAGGATTTCCTCCAACTGTACAATAAAAAGTCGTATTTCCTCCTTCATCCCTTGTCTGTTTCACCGGTGACAACATTACTTGTGGTGCAGATATCGATTTTCCAGGCCTTCCAGGTGGTCCCGGCATGCCTTTTGGCCCAGGCTCTCCCTTGACTCCTTTCTCACCTCTCGGCCCCGCAGGACCCGTCATTCCTGTTTTTCGGGATTTTCCAGGTGGTCCCATGGGGCCTTGAGAGCCCTTCTTTCCCTTTGGTCCCCTCCTGCCACGTTGTCCTTTTGCCCCTGTTGGACCAGGGAGTCCGGGAGGGCCTGCAGGACAGACCTTTTCACTTGACTTACAGTACTTGAGGGGCATAAGTTGTTCAAACTGTCTCGTGATTTCTCTTCTCACGTCATGTATTGTGATGCTAACGGAAGTGCCGTTTAAAACTTGTCTTCGTTTTCTTGGAGGGATGATTGTAAATTGCGTCCTTGAAAACGGTGCGACTGTAGAAAAGAACATCCTTTAAAAATTATAATAACTAACTGGGTGGATTAATTAGTGTAACATTTGAAGATAACAAAGTCATTCGGTTCATTCGGTTTACCGGAGGTTACTAAGCGCACACCATCACAGAGTGGGCGTTAATGACGACATTACCATTTTCTGGTCGGGCAGGGAATGGGCGTCGGTCTGCGTCAAAGCTCACAAGACAAGGAACGTCTGAACGAGGCTATCGGTTCTCGTCCTTTATTATTAATATTATTTCTTTCACTTGAAATCAAGATGTGCTTGTGGATTACAAAACGTTATCACTGTCTCTCCTCTTGTTTTATATTTGTCTTAGACGACAGACCATTCACGTTGTGTCCTCCTCATGTGCAGACAAATTTTCGAAACTTTATCCCTTGCAGCCAATCTTTAGTTAATTCAGTTATAGATCCAGAGCGCATCTCAATTATCCACAAAGTATTTTAATTATTCCCGGAAGAAACGTAAAATCCTCAAAGTAAACCTTGACTCCTTTACATTTGCATGGAAAAACCGGAAAATCTGGTTGGACAATCAAATGGATCGCGCCATTCCGTTTGGGAAGCTTCAGAAAATATGGGCTGTGATTTAAGGTGATGCAATATTTCTACTTATTTTAGTCTGTTCAGGTGATATCGATTTGGATATGCGTTGCAGAGGGTCGTTGAATCTCCCACATTAGAAGAGTTGTGGGGGTGCGGTGGGAAATTTTCGAGCCGCATGAAATTTCCCTTGTATGAATTTTTTAGTCCTTTGTATGAATATTTTTAGCGTTACTTGGCGTGGATGACTGTATTTTTCATTTAATTTTCCCCTGCGCGAATATATTTTTTGGTAGTTCGCCCCCACCCCTTAAGTTTTCTAATGGCCCGTCCCTTAATTATGAATATGCAGAAAATTTTCACCTGGGCGGTATCTGAGTAAATGGTGAGCACCCCTTATTCATCAATGTAAACTGTGCAATGCATGCCAGGCGTTTGAAAGGGGGGATAAAAGAGGAATTTTCTTACTACTAACAAGTTGTATTAATAATAATTATCGTTTACAGCGTGACTCTCTTCATTGCTTTTTATTTACATAAGAGGTCCTCTGATCATACAGTCGACTCTCTCTTGACGGACACCCCTATACTGACGGTCACCTCTATACTGACGGGCACCTCTGTATTAAGCGACCACTTAGTGTTGGTCCCTGCCTTTTTTAATTCCCTTTATTTGACTCTCTATAAGGCGCACATCTCTTTAAGCCGGGCACTTAGTGCCAGTTCCAAAGGTGCCCATCTCAGAGAGAGTTGACTTTAATAACAAACTGGTCAAAAAGCGATCCAGAGTTATTTATAGTATTTTCTATAGGCGTTTTTATATAACGTGCATTACCAAAAAAAAATAATAACAAAACGGAAGAAATCTCTCTGAGAGATTTGCCCGGAAGGGAGAGAAGACAAAATTTAAAATTTATGTCTGAACGTTATCCGTAGAACAAGATAAACTCTATCCCACCTGAGTAGGTGTGGCCGATTCCTTCTGAAATAGGTGTCCGTATGTTCTTGTAATGATATTTTGTGCTGTCTTTTGTCGGCGAAAGAGTCATCTTGTCAAGATTGTCCGTCGAGCCACTCTTGACGCAGGAAAAACAGTGAAGGCGAGATTCTAGTGCGATGAGTCGTTCGTTTGTTGTTTCATTCTTCACCCAGAGAACCCCGCAAACGAAAACTAACATCACAGAGACAGCCGATGGTTTCAGCGATGGAACGAAATCAAAGAGGCGATGAGATTTTGAGGAGTTCAAAGATTTCATTTCTTCAACTCTATATGAACAATCGTTTTCTACAGTCACAAGGAGACGGACGGTTAGGTTGCCAGTATAAAGTGATGCTTTCGAATTGACCCAAAAAGACATGAACTGTTCTTTTACGTGCTTTACAGCTGACGTGTAATTGCCATTGCTGTTGACCTTCCCCATTCGTACCTTCTCGCGTTGCATTAAATCATGCTCAAGGCTTCAGCAATAACGTTGATATTTTAGAAATTATCCGTCATGTCAGCTTCCAGCGGCAGGTATGCATTTGGAATAAGCACGTGATCATTTTTCCGCGAATTAAAGGTCTCGGTAAAGGAAAACGAGGTGCCCACAGAAAAAATCTTAGTTGCGCGAGTATTTTCGCTACAAATGCAAGTTATATATCAAATTAAAGCTAAAAGACTAAATTACCTTATAAAAGATTTTATTTCATCGAATTTCAAAAGGCCCTTAAGTTTTTTGCTCTCGAACTCTGAGGTATCGAGTTTACTGCTGAAGCTCCAGCCCTTCCGCGTTGTTAAATATTCACTTCCTCTTTATTGCATCTGATTGACAAATAAAAGACCTAAAAAAACACTGAAAAAAAGGTGTGAGGAAATTTCCATGTCTCGTATTAGCGGAATTACTGCATTTCAAACTAAAAAGTCGAATCTCGAGCGCGATTTACGCAAAGAAACTGACATAAAATGAATTACAAAGGGAAATCGGAAAATTCCTCACACCCTCTTTGAGTCTATATCATTATCCATCACATCCCAGAGTTTCAAAGCGATAGCGTAAAACCTGTCCCGACTGGAGGTCGGAGAATTTTGATGTTTGCGTCTAAAATAGAGTGAGTGTCATGCATTAGACAGGGGCTGTCAATCACTTTTCGCGCGCAACTTATGGCGGGAAACAGAAAAGGCTCATTTTAGAAGTTTTAAAAAGCTCTTTCTGATTTTCTTTTTCTGCCAAAATAAAATTTAGGACCCACTCATGCCAAAAATTAAAAAAAAAACAAACAAACAAACAAACAAAATCGAGCAATGTACTAAAATTTTCATTTACCGAGACCGTAATCATTTTTCCGCGAAGTAATCAGCGTCAACGGAAGTTTAATATGTATTCGATTGTTTTATTTCTATTTTATTAAAAAAAAAAAAATAAAAAAAGTGCATTTCTTTTCTTTGTTTCTTTCAGATAATAAGCTATTCAGACAGTATGTGGTTTTCGAGTTTGCTCACCAAAGTTTGTTATTTATATCTCTCTAATAATACATTAACGTGTGATGCTCATCGACCAGGGGTCGTGTTAAACAGATCGATAATAGCGGTTAATTTAAGATTCTGGATCAACGAGAGAGTACTGAAATAAATGAATAAGTGAATGAATTAGTGACCCAATGAACAAACGAACGAACGAACGAACGAACGAATGAATGATCAAATGAATGAATGAATGATACTGGGTATAGTTTTGTACAGTGGGACCTCCTTTAAAAGATATTCAAACATTTCCAATATCTTTTCCTAGCTACAGTGAAACCTGTATTAAGCGGACACCCTCGGGGAATGCTGTAGTGTCCTCTTAATACAGGGTGTCCGCCTAATACAGGTTCCAATAGGTAACGTCATATGAGATGTCAAATGCCATTCAAATGAACAGTGGAAACGTTTAGAATACTCCCAGAGACTATGGCTATATTCGTTCGCATGAATTTCTTTATCAAAGTGGACTAATTGATCATAGTACCTTAAACATAGATTGCAACTCAAATTTGAAGAAATCAGATGAGTGAAAAAAGCTCTATACAAACAAAACGAAATAGAAAACAATACTGTACTGGGAAACTAATCAAATAAGTTCGTCAAGTCACGTTTTTTAATGTAAAAATCGAAAAATTTGTAGGTGGCAATTCGAGGCAATCTTTCGCAGATATCGTTTTAATTTCAGTGCCAAATCACAATACAGTATAATAACCAACCAGTAAAATCTAGCTCACCTCACTCTAGACACAACTCAGTGTCCCCATTTATGTGCAGTATTTATTAAAGATCCCGTATACATGTAAGCGTTCAGAGCGTAAAACTCCGCCGTAAAGGATTTATCTAAACCAAGAGAGAACAACCTCTTAGTCTAAACGACATCTGATAACATTACCAATAACTTAATACAATAGCAATGATTTTACCAGAGGTATAGGTGATCCCTTCTGAAGTATATCTGCATCTTCTTGTTAATAATTTTTTGCGGTAGCTTTTGTCCGCGAGGAAGTTAAAGTGTCACTCTTCCCGCAGGGGAATTGAAACAGTGAAAGCGAGATAGTTCTGTAATACTTGATCCTTTAAAATTTGTCCATGGAAATATCATGATAATTATCTTAAGCAGAGGTCTGATTCAGCTGTCTAGGGCAAAGTAAGAACAAGGTACTTGCCAGTCAAAGCCTCTAGTAAACACTGCTCCTCTATGCAACAAAGAAATTTCTGTTTTTCCTGGCAATATTTCCAACAAATAAGGAAAAAACAAGGTGACAATATTTTTTCTTGGAATCACATGCTCAAGCTAATTTGCATAATTGACGGCGGTCGTGTCTTCAAAAACACCAAAAGTTCAAAGTGTTTGCGTTAAAGGAAGATCAAAAGTGCAAAGCCTTTTTATATTTCTACACTTTCTAGCATCTCCTTAGTTGATTTAAGTAGAAAATCAGAGCAGGCAGGTCTGGACTTATGAAATAATTGCAAGCGAAGATAGGGTACTTTGCTGCGCTTTCAAAATGGCCTCTTATAGGTGCTAGTAAATTAATTTCCCTGTAGACACAATTCAACAAAATTCCAAATTCACATGCTATTCACACTGTTGATAAACATCGTAACCTAGAAATAATCATTTTTTTTCTCGCTTTCTGTCGATTTGGAGAAGCGAGCTTAGTAATTTGTCGAATTTTTTGCTTTAGCCAAATGCAAATTTAGGGCAGTCGGCAGTTTGACAGTTGAGCGTTCTAAAATTCGCATTTTGAAAAATTTCCCAAAACGAAAGTCGTTTTTATTTACTTATGAACTAAGATGATTTACTGGGCAAAGTTTGAGGGCAAACTCTTTTCGACCACGAATGCACCGGACCGCTTTTACAGACACTGCCTCTTTTAAAGGGACTCCAGA